TTTCAACTTTATGGTTCTCAATAATCGAGCAAACAGTCAAGAAATCATTCATTTCTGAATGTTCAACAATATTTTTTTTTTACATCTTGGACCGCACGAGAGAATGAATATTCCTATATTGCTCTTGAAATATCGTGCGTACCTAGAGAGTATAGGGAGACACCTTTTAAGCCAGTTCAACACTATTTTTTGTATCAAGCTCAGCATATTTCTACTTCAGAACTATATATTTTTTGTCGTTTGTAAAAAAAGTTGTTTGCAGCTTTTGCGCGAATACTTTGGTCATCTCGAATATTTTTTGACTCGGCTGCGCCTCGTTAAAAAAATCAACCAAAGTACCATTTCGTGCACTAGATACAAAAATAAATATTGTGAACGAATATGGTCATTAGAATAGGTTGAAAATAACTTACAAACATATACAGATACATAGTGAATAGAATAAGGTATCTGTCACATTCGAAACAATATAATGAGGGTTATGGATTAGACATCAAGGAAAATCATTGAAATTATCAATGGAGAGCAATTACAGTTTCCTCCAAAGTATTTAGCAAACAAATTAAACCGGCACTATCTGGTGATCGCTATGGAACTGAATATTTAATGTCGGTACTATGACTGCATAATTCGAATTAACATATACCGGGTGGCTACGGAAGTATTGCCTACGGAATATCTCAGTTATTGTATGAAGTAGGTTTGTGAAATTTGGAGCGTCGATATAATGACATAAGAGCTAGAATTTGAGCATTATGACATGTTGAAGTTGACTTCCGGTCTGACCGGAAGTAACATCAACTTTCTTATTTTAAATGGAAACCCTATTTTTTTTTTCTTTTCGCTTTATTCAGCTTCCAATTCCCTTTCTAATGACATATCACAAGTTGGTATCTAACCAGAAACTAGATCAGAAAAAAATTATTATTGAAATTCACCGAGTAGGCCGTGGAAGCAAAATGAAAGCCAAAAATTGAAAAGTTGGCTATGGAAACCATACGTCACTTGATAACAGTTGCTACTACTGTGATATTTCATTTTCATTCGTCCGCGTTATAAAAAGCCGCCAAAAATAATATTGGAAAAATTGTGAAAAAAACAATACTCTGTAGGTCTATAACTTGAATAGGAACATACAACTTTTTTTTGCCTGTACTATTCTGCATAACCATTCCTTTCTAATGATATAATAGAAAGTCATTTTTTGGCTTTCATTTTGCTTCCACGGCCTACTCGGTGGATTTCAATAATAATTTTTTTCTGATCTAGTTTCTGGTTAGATACCAAATTGTGATATGTCATTAGAAAGGGAATTGAATGCTGAATGAAGCGAAAAGAAAAAAAAATAGGGTTTACATTTGAAATAGGAAAGTTGATGTTACTTCCGGTCATACCGGAAGTTAACTTCGACATGTCAATATGCTCAAATTCTAGCTCTTATGTCATTATATCGACGCTCCAAATTTCACAAACCTACTTCATACAATAACTGAAATATTCCGTAGGCAATATTTCCGTAGCCACCCGGTATAGGAATTAAAAACCTGTAGAATTCAAAGCAACTTTGATTATCGCACTAATTTCACTATATACAGTTCAAGACACGATGTTTGATGACTCTGGAATCTGAGGAAATGCGTACGTATCTTCAGTATTTTCAGAAAAAAGTACCGAGAAACACACATTCAACTTATGGAAGATGTCACTACACAATTTTTAGGAGAAATATCATATTCGAGGGACACACTCGCTGTCGCTGACGTATCACTAGCGCATATGGTGGGGGAAATATCAAATATTGACATTTGAGTCATTGATGTAAGGTAGGTGCGGGTAATAAGGCCTAGCTAAGGGGGATTTGAAATAAAAAGAAAACTATTCAACAAAATCAACGAATTTTAATGTTAATTAAACCTTAAGATCAGGTCCTGTCAAAAACAAACAGAACATGGCAACGTGTGTCATAAATAAAAACATGATTGAACATTTTTAAAAACCTTGTCAGTAGGCCTTATTATACTATAGTAGGATAATAAGGCCTATGACTTTAATATGCATAGGAAATAAAAATAGACTCCTAACATTTGGTAATTGAGATCGATAATTGATGATCATGCATTGATCATGCTGAGGCCTTGAAAATAACAACCATTTTCTTCGTTTAACAACCCTCAGGACCCTCAAAATTATCTGTATCATCCGCTGACAAACCGACGCACTCCTCGTGATACCACTTGATACATCTAGAACATTGTCTCATGTCAGCCATTTTATCCTCCTCACAAACATGACAGTACCAACTCGCCTGGTTCTGTTCAGTACCACTTTTGGGGGTTGAGGTCTTTTTAATTCTCCTATTGTCCTTGTTTTTGTCAAACAGGTCTTTGGTGACTGGAGTTCCCCTGTAATTTATGGCCTTTCTTCTAACTGTTGGTGTTTTTTCAGTAATATTTTTAGCCAGTGTAGGCATGTGCTGCTGACTTATTTACATTCCTAACATTTTGCAAAAGTCATCAAATTAACTGTGAAACAGACAAATGCTGTTACAAAAAAAAGAGGATAATAAGGCCTACGGCCCAATTTGGTAGGCCTTAATAACCTCCAACAACGTGTGTGAAGGAAACCTGAAAAGAACATTATTCGGACCTCGATATATTATTCAAACATCAAAGATCGCAGAACCATGACATAATAGAAAACTATAACGCAGAATTATATTAATGAGTGTAATATCTCAAAAAATACGTACGATTGATTTGGACGAATTCTTATTATTCGAGCCACACGACCACTACTTTTAACGAATGACACCGCACTGGTCGCCCTTAGCGACCAAACACATCGCGGCAGATTTCAGGCGCCATCTTTGATAGTTAGCGACCTGTTAGTGTGACCTTGACCGACACCGACTATTTTAAATTGCATTTTCATCATTTAGGCCTTATTAGCCGACAGGCCTTATTACCCGCGCCTACCTTATAAAGAAATTGGCAGACAAGTGTTATGAAAATGATGAAAGTTTTTCACTTGATAGGAAACATACTGTGTACCTAATATGCTGTTATCTGCATATTCGTGAGATCAACAGTATAGTTCCATCGAGTTACTGATTTTTGTAGTTTATATTTCACAAACATATGAAAGGATCAAAGATAGACCCTTGTGAAATACCAGAAAGCTTTCATCTGAAATGAGTTATTGATATGGAGATTGCCGATATATTTTATACTGGCAATTTTTTGCCAGATACTCTGTCTCATTTGTGTTTACCGAAATATTTTCAGAATTCACTATGATGCGTGGAAGAAATAATATTATGTAGACTGATTTTATCAAAATGTACTTTCTGCACGGAGAAAAAAAATCACTCACCCTAGGTGAATATTCAATAGTGGCAAGTAAAAACGTGTATACTATTTGGGACAAGAAAACAAGTTAATAGTAACAAAAATATTTGTGTTGCTTGCAAATGTACACCTACCACTATTACCCTGTTTTGTTGAATTTTTGATTGAATACCGTTAGTGAACAGTACTTGTCATTAGTGACTTACCCACTTGTAATTTTTGACTTATTCACTCGTCATTAGTGACTTATTCACTTATGATTAGTGACTGATCCACTTGTCATTAGTGATTCATTTACTCATCATCAGTGACTCATTCATTTGTCATTCGTGACTTATTCACCTTTCATTAGCTAGATACTATGAAAAATTACAAACAATGTTCTCTGAAAAATGATAACCTTGGTGAGAAGAGAAAACTCTTGCATTTAAAGAATGCATTGTATAGCTATGATGAATCAAGAAATCACAGAAAAGTAAGACTGACGACAAATCACTAGTTACCGGGTATATCACGATCATGGGCCGTGAAAAACTGTCCATGCACTCGTGAACTCTCTTTTTCTTAAGTGAGAAGTGAAAAAGTGAAATTGAAATTAACTTTCATGCTCAGTAAACGTCACTTTCTCCCACTTCGAGTATCATCGGCAGTGGAATATATAGAATCATGTATATCATGTCAACAATCATGGACTTTACTGAGAGAGTTATGTATTTCATTCGCTTCTTCAAAATAATAACAGATCAAGAACCTCTATACACCACAGATCAGAGCGCGGCACACAAACTGAGACTGAGAATCTTCACGAATATTATATATATAGCAGTTGGCCTGAAGGACACTTGCATGAATTCTAATTGTATATATACTAGCAAGAACATAATAATGAAAGCGTGGACAGTGGGAGTGGTTGTGTTGGACGTGGGCATGCGAAAAATATATGGGAGATGAACGGCGAAAACCACAGGTGAGCTGTCACCTGCATCAATCGTTTTGATATAGATTATCTTCATCAATGAGTTCGCTCAGAGCAAGTGATTTTATCTCAGAAAAATAATTCAATAATGGTGAGCTTTCATTAAACTCTATATAGCACTAGTTTAGTGTTCACTTATAATTATCAGCATTGTTTCAGAAATATTGTTCGGCCTACTTCATCAAGTACCTTATTTTCCTACCGTTGAGGAAAATGTTCTTGTCACAATTTATTATTTTCTCAAGAAATCGATCAACTTGGCCAAGTTTTCTCAGTGTTCATACTATAGTTTAGCATTCAATAATACCAGCTTGTTATTCATCATCCAGCGAAGAGGTATACTTATACTTATTCTTGCAACTTTTCGTCTCATGTCTCCTAATCTTATCTAGCTTAAAATTCTCTGTGCCCTGTATATTCCGGCTAGGTTTATTCGTTCCTAAGGTATGTCGAAATCTCGAATCATCCATGGTGAGATAATTTGAAAAAATCCACACCGTTTGTGTAGAGTATTTGTATAATCTCATCTGTTACACAATACTAATGGCCCTCGATGAATAGGTCCTCAGCTGTCAAAAGAGTGTAAATGCCGACACAAACTCGGATTTGAGAAACACTTATTCTTAATCGCCTAAGCCTCTCGTTGTTGTCAAGGGGGGACAATAATATCCACACAAATGGAGCTATTGAAAAAGTAAGTGTCCTTATGCATTTTAAATAACAATGCAATGTGAGGTAATTCATGGAATACTTGATTATCTTTGACGACACACAGTATAACAAAAAATACCAATGGAATAATTTTAGACATTACGCATGGTCAAAAGCAGCATAGAGTAAAGATTTCTAGAGTATTATTAGAAATTTCAGTGTGAGTTTCTCTGATTATTTTTCAATTAAGAGAATCATATCCCAACCAACATTTTAAGAGAATTATACCAAGCAGAGAGGAGAAATTACTCGAAGAAGTCGAAATTTACTAATTTTCGACAAAATATTTTACCTTTATGCCCTGAGTAACTTGAAAGTTATGGATTAAGTTGTAAAATACCTGGTTAGGACCTCAACATTTCCTATAAAATCCATCAACTTTATAGACAAATTGCATAGTTGGAAACTACTCATTATAGACTTCAAACATAACTTCATGGTCCTAGTGAGCATTTAGTTATCAATTAGGTAATATTTAACATCAAAATCACCAGTAAAATGTCTTCCAGGCCCTCGTACTATCAGGATATTTATTGGAGTTGAAATTTACCAAATTCTAACTTGATAAACGATCATAAAGACAGGGAATAATCAGATGGAAAAAAAAGTCGGATTTATACTCTGTTTTGCCTATTTTTGACCAATTGAGTCGAAGGAGTTTCTTAGACTTTTTTTAACCTAATCAGTACCAACTTCATATCCGATGAAGGCAAGATTACCACTATGAAATCCTTATAGAACGAAGTGTCCTTGAGAGAGCCGAGAATACCAAAATTAGTCCTAAAATCATGTTCTCAAAGTTGATGACTATTATTGATCCTGGTGCTTTGAGGTCGGCAAATGTTTTGAAATGATCATTAATTTCTGAAAATATTAAAAACTGGAGACAAGCGCAATGTATGAGTTTTGTATGTTTTATTCTTTATCACCTGTGAGTGGTTCAGGTAGCTTACCGCTTGAACGCTTCTAAAGCAAATCATAATATCTTTCTATACATTACGATGATGTTTGATCATCTAAACCATCGATTTGTTTTGACATTCGAAGTTTTACTTCCACTTATTCCATTGGTCAGATCTGAATGCATATTTCAAATAACTTTTATAAAAAAAAACAGGTATCAATTATTACACTTCGGTTGAGAACGTACAAAAATGGCAAATGTACTAAAAGTATACTAGAACGGCAACACTGTTCGAGAGATGACAACACGGCGATGGACTTTTCTGATTCGCTGAAAAATGAAGCCTGTCATCCAGCGACCAATTAGAAAACATACCGTGGTGCAGAATAAGAAATTGAAAGCGAACAACGAACATTTGACAAATTATATGATTATAGGGAACATCTGATAATATAAATCCATCAGGTTGACTGCTACTCAAATAATATACTCGTTGATATAGTCTAAAATCCCAATATGGGGAAATTGGGCTCCATAGTCAGAATATACAGAATTTTCGACTATGAACGAAGCCTATTCGCCCTGAAAGTTGAAGATTCTGGAAAATTCGACTTTCAAGTCCAATATGAAACCGACGCCATATTTGTTGGCTCGAACCTTTTTCGCCATTGACGAAAAAAGAAGAAATCTCTACATAGCGACCACATCCTAATGAATAGTAATACAGAAAAGGTTAAATTTCGCATATATGATCATATTCTACCAGTTGATCCATTTTTAGATGGAATTGTTGAAAAATAATTCGAAAACACAAAGAATATCATCCAGTATTTTTCTACAAATCCAATAATTTCGTGGGCCCACTAATTTTACATGTGTAAAATCAACATTATCACAATAAATTTTGCATCGCAGGTTGAATAACGATTCACAACAACCTCAAATAAGCTAAACAACATGCATATTATCTACACCTTCCACTACTATCGAGTTTTCTTTTGAACGCCATGTTCATAAACTACTAAGTCTCCACACGTAAATGAGTAGGTATAGTCACTATAGTCGATCGTGAAACACGGTACATATTTGTTTTCCGAACCCAACCAAATGACAGTAAACCAGGTAGAAAATCTTAGTAAACCCACCCATAAGTAGGTAATGAATAACGTCAGAATAACTAAAATCAGACCACTATCGGACTAGAATTAGGGCAATTTCACCTAATTGTTTCCTCGACCTATTGGTCAGGATACCCTAATATCCCTATTCTCGTCTTCTGAATTACTTCCAGTTTTTTCCCCATATTGGTAAATTTGAAGTAAATAAGACGTAATATTCACTTAGGCCAAATAAGTCGTTGACCTATTCTAAGGTCGAAATGACGTATATTATACCTAAAATGTTTGTTGGGATTGAATATCTAAAAGAATAGAGATAATACTTTCCTGATGGCTGACATCTCAGAATATTGATTCAGATATATATGTCAATAACCTAGTATGAAAAAATATATTCGAAGAAAGAATAGTGAAGACACTTAAAATGGGATGAAGATTTTACATAGATTTCTAACAGAAAAAAAATTTTTTCGGCATATACCACAGAATATTGAATTATATCTGTTATGAATAAGAATAGTATATTGTGCAACAAATGGAAAAAGTTCAACTTTTCTCACGAGAGCGAAAGTTTATGGCACGAGTCTGAAGGGCGAGTAATGCAAACGCACGAGTGCATGAGAGAAGTGCTATTCCCCACATGTTGCACACTATACTTTTTCTACAACTGCACTTATTCGAAGAATCCGAGTAATGTAACTTATTGGTATTCATTTTATAATGTGACACCATGCCACAGTGGATATTGTAACCTTGTGACCAAAGAGTAGATGCCTTTTCTAGTTCCTCAACGTATTTCAGAAAAATACACTTTCCGAAAAAGATTTTATTTCTTTATTTTTTTAGATTCCATAAGTTTTCCGTACCAAATATGCCAATTCATATTTTTTTCTAAAAATTTCCAGGAACAAATCCAACTTTCGCAGCTTTTTCCATTATCGCTGATGTCTCTGGCGGTGTATTTATCAAAATCGTCACATCTCGGTATATACATGGCATAGTGCCGTGAGAAAAAATATTTCTCACAGTATGGGCAATATACATGGTTTTGAATTTAGGTAAGCTATGAGAAATGCGCTACTTTTCATAGCAGTAGTAGAAAAATATTATACAATTCTAAACGAATATAATCTCTATAACATTTATTGAATGATATATCGTTTTTTTCTGTGACGGTGAAAAAGTATGAAATTTCATATCTGTTGACAGGATATAAAATGTCACTTTTCATAAATTACTATCTTCCGCCACGGGAAAAAAGTTAGCACTTTTTTCCTGGATATATATCACACATATAAAGTGCTCAAAGAAACAAGTGGACCACTGAAATATTTGACAATTTTCAAACTGCCATATCTCTTTAGAAAATGAATGGATTTTCAATCGGAATACAGTGCTTGGAAGATGCGATCTTTCTGTTCAATATTTCTTGTTCAAAACTCGTCGGGAGTTCTTTTGTCATTATACACCAAGTGTTCCAAAAAAGTATTACAAAAATGAGAGAATTCAAACGCTGCCGTATTCCAGGTAATTTTTTTTATTTTTCTACTTATAATTTTTTTCGAACGTTCAAGTCAATATCTCGAAACAGATTTGTAATTTTCCTTATTCCTCATACAGGATGTTCAAAGTCGATAATTTTTCATTCTTATATAGGTTTTTATCGCATCTTTTTCGATTTTAAAATTATGCAAGTCACATTCAACGTATTTTGCCACTCTATACGACGGAACACATCCTAGAAAATGGATTCATATTGCGTTGAAATTATCGACAACTTCAACAGAAGAAAAAATAATGTTTGTGGAGAATAGTTCAGAATTTCGTGAAATCGTCTGTTCAATTGTATGCTGCCATATAACCATATGGTATGCTAAACACATATTCTTCATTTGGATCGATTGCTCAGCTCAATATCTTGAATTGATTTCGTGATTTTTCAGGTATGCCAATCCAATATAAGGGGGCGCAAGGAGGCCCTTCTGGATTTTTCTGACCAATTCATACAAAAACGATGCTACGGTGGTTTCAAGATATTCCTGAGCTGACATCAAGTCAATAAACCTATTTATCACTATAGGTTTTGCATCGCGTAATCGAAAATCAATCGAAAAAGTCGATTTCTTTTAATCAACACTCATTTACGCAATTAATACCACTGGAACACCCAATATAATGCCTCCTGTCGAACCTTTTACATCAACTGTCATCATCGGTTCGACGGGACGCATTATATTGGGTGTTGCAGTGGTATTAATTGCGTAAATGAGTGTTGATTGAAAGAAATCGACTTTTTCGATTGATTTTCGATTACGCGATGAAAAACCTAGTGATAAATAGGTTTCTTGACTTGATGTCAGCTCAGGAATATCTCGAAACCATCGTAGCATCGTTTTTGTATGAATTGGTCAGAAAACTCCAGAAGGGCCTCCTTGCGCCCCCTTATTGGATTGCCTTACCTGGAAAATCACGAAATCAATTCGAGATATTGAGCTGAGCAATCGATCCAAATGAAGGATTTGTGTTTAGCATACCATATGGTTATATGGCAGCATAAAATTATGAACAGACGATTTCACCAAATCCTGAACATTTCTCCACAAACATTATTTTTTCTTCTGTTGAAGTTGTCGATAATTTTGTTTTTTATTGTTGTGTTTGAACATCCTGTTTGAGGAATATGGAAAATTACAAAACCGTTTCGAGATATTGACTTGAACGTTCGAAAAAAATGATTAGTAGAAAACATTTCCTGGAATACGGAAAGAATTTGAATTCTCTCATTTTTGTAATACTTTTTTCGAACACTTGGTGTATGATGACAGAAAAACTCCCGACGAGTAGTGAACGGGGAATCTTGAACGGAAAGATTGCATCTTCCAAGCACTGTATTCCGATTGAAAATCCATTCATTTTCTAAAGAGATATGGCAGTTTGAAAATTGTCAAATATTTCAATGGT